TGAAGACTCCACTAACTTCAGGTATATGATATGATGTAAAGATACAATACAGACATTCCCAAGTGATTTCTTTCTGTTCCTCAGTTTTCCCTGCCAGGAATCCCAGGCAAAACCAACACACAGCAATGATACATAATAAACTAACCCAGGCATTGACGTTCACTCAAAGTGACATTATAAGGACACTTGTCCTTGATAGTTTAGTGGCCTCTTGGTACATCACTTATATAGCCAAAAACAGGGAGGAGCAGAGGATGAGGAGCTGGGATGTGGCAGGAGCATCCACACTGCCCCAGCAGCACCAGCCCTGTGTGCCAAGGGGCGGAATTTAGGGGAGTAGAAGCTCCTCTCCATCTCAGCCCACCTGGTGTTGGCACTGGAAAGGAAGAGCTGGAATTATAGTTGGTAAAATTCCTTATTTCCTTAGAGGTAAACGTTCCATTTATCTCAACCCTGGCAGTGTTCACAGCCAGGTTGGATGAGCCTTGAGCAACCTGCTCTGGTGGGAGGTGTCCCTGCCCAGGGGTTGGGGGGTGGGTGATCTCTAAGCTCCATTCCAGCCCCTAAAATTCCATGATTCTATGGATTCATTATATTTTTGATTTAGTAGTGCCTGAGTAGGCTTCAGAGTGGGCAGTTCAGGGGGAACATCCTCTCTGCCCAGATGTTTCTGTGCCCAGGAATGGTGATGGCAGTGTTGGTGGGAGGGAGGATCCAGAGGCACAATGAGATCTGGATCGTGGGATGTGAAGCATAGAGTCATAGAATTTAAGGGTTGGAATGGAGCTTAGGGATGGATGATCCAGCCCCAAGCCCTGCCCTGGGCAGGGACACCTCCCAGCAGAGCAGGTTGCTCAAGGCTCAAGGCTTTAGCCAACCTGGCTGTGAACACTGCCAGGGTTGGGGCAGCCACAGCCTCCCTGGGCAACCTGGGCCAGGGTCTCACCACCCTCCCAAGAAGGGCTCAGTGAGCCAAGGGATGCCAAGAGCAGGGAGAAGGTTCATGTGCAGCTCAAGCCTCGTTCATGAAC